TGTTCGAACTTGGCGAGGAAAGTCAGTTTGGTACTAAAACTTGTGGGATACATTAAACCAGTGACAGAACTTGGCTTGGACGTGCATCTACGGTGCTAATCATATATGTATTTATACAGGATGCTGGCGTGGCACGCCAGCATGGCGCGGGTCCACTCGTAAGTGAATGAGAGACGGGGCAAAGGAGTTTGGCCTGTTTTTTTTTGCAGAAAACACCTCAAAATTCTTTTTTATCATAAAAGACCCCTTGTTTTTTTTTCTAAAAAAAGCTCAGAAACGTAATTTTGTCTCTATGACCCTTGAGGCCCACATGTCAGGAAACAGTATGAAGAGGAAGTTAATACAATTTTTTTGGTCAGCCATGGGTCGAACCAGCCAGCTCAAACCAACAACACTGGCAGGCTAGCCATAATATCCTATGAGCAGACAAGCACATGGGGCTTGTTTTTTTCTTGAGAAACTGTAGATGGGGCTTAGGCTGCACCGCTGCAGTTACCACAGCCCATTCTTCACATGTTAGTTTTTAAATTGAAAAATAATATTATAATTAATATTTATAGTTTTAGTTGTATATGTTTATATATTCAAATAATACATTAACATTTTTAAGATTACACAAAAAATATTTGAAATGATAATTTTCGCTCAAAATTAATATATGTTTATAGCCTTAAAATACATGAATAGATGAATGAATATTATAATTAATATATATTATTAAAAACATAAATATTACTTTATGTATATAAACATTTTTAAATTAGTGTATGTATTTATAGAATTACACAAATATTCTTTTAAATAAGAACATTTATTAGAATTATATGAACATATTTAAAGTAAGATATTTCATGAAGTACATGAAAACTATATTAAATAATGTATTTCCTGTGTATTTAAATTATTTATAATTTACATAATACAACATAGTTCTATTTTTTTATATTTTTTAGGAACAATACAACATAATTCTAAGAAAAGATAATAACATTAAAAAATTAAGGCGCGGTGACAGCCGCCATTTAAGCCTTATGTGCGCGCTTGCCTATAGTTCACTAGGACTAGCTATCCAACTTCGACAGCAAATTATTCACGGTCTGGTGACTAGTCTGGTCGGCCAGTGAGCCATTGCCTCCCTGGCGTGTTATTTTTCATATTAATTTCCTCCGTGTAATGTATCCTGGCGGGTACAGCCCAATGGTTATACAGATATAAAGTGTTGTCTTAAATTTTTAACGAAATTTTTGAGGGGCTTTTTGTGAGAAAAATGAAATTTAGGGCGTTTTTGCAAAAAGAAAAACAGGCCAACGCCCTCGTCTGCGTCTCCCAGTCACTGATAGGTGGGCCCCGTGTCATGCTGGCTCGCCACATCAACAGCCTGTACGTATACAAGCGTGATTAGCACCGTAGATGCACAACCAAGCCAAGTTCTGTCACGTGGATTCGAGGCTCGTAACCAACTAGGGCCGATCGATGAGCTTCGAGGACCTTGAGGCGGGCGTCCTGCGGCCGGCGCCGCTGCCGCTGCCGCAGGTGGTGGCGCACGGCGTGTTCCAGATCAACACCAAAGTGGCGGCGCTGCGGCACCTCGGCGACGCGCTCGGCACGCCCAAGGACACGCCGGCCCTCCGCGTCCGCCTCCGCTCGACGCGCGCAGAGGCCGCGCGGCTCGCCAGAATCACGTCGCAGAACCTCAAGCAAGCCGCCGCCGCCGCCGGCGACGGGGGCACCGAGGGGTCGACATCACCCTGCTCCAAGCTGGCCATGGATTTCGAGGTGGCCCTGAGCGAGCTCCAGAAAGTCCAGCAGCGGATCGTGGCGGCAGAGCGACAGGTCAACTCCTGTGCTGCTGCCGCCGCTGCTGCTGGTGGTACATTTGCCGGTCATGAACAGTGCACCGGGCAAACGCAGCAGCAGCTCCTGTCACATGGATCGGAAGTCGAAGAGCTCGAGGCCGTCGTCGACGAGAGGGAGCGGGGATACGGGAGACAGAGCAGGTGATCACCGAGATCAACGAGATCTTCAGGGACCTCTACGCGCTGGTCGACGAGCAGGCCTGCAGCGTCGATCACGTCGTGTGCGACATCGAGAGCGCCGCCGCGACGACGAGCCAGGCGGAAGAAGAGGTCTCTGCGTTAGCAGTGGAGGCCGATCGGGTCTCGAGCTCCAGCTCGAGCTCGTCGACGAAATACTTGCTGATGTTTGTTGCTGGCATCTTCTTGTTCATCTTCCTCTTGGTGCTTGTAGGATAGCCCGGGTCGCTGAGTGTTTCATGGAGTCCATATTCAGTCGGGGAGGCCTGAGTTTGCATCGAGTCGAGGGTTTCATTCGTACTGTACTGGCTACTGGGCACTGGTGTGAAAACAGCACTGTGGTTGTGGTGACAGAGTCATAGGTGATTTTCTGATTCCAGCTGATACCATTCAGATGTTGAATCCCACCTCCGCGTAAAATTAGTGTATGCCTCTTTTTTGGGAAAAGAAATGTTTGATTTTGACACCTTCAGACTTGTTTTAATGATTCAACGCAGTAAACATGTAATTAGTTTTTTCTGTGAATTAGCTTGTATCTTTCACATTGGTTTGCTTCTAGTCTTCTACTCCCTCTGTCTCAAAATATAAGAACGTTTTTAACACCACAGTTCTTATATCGTGGGACGGAGGGAGTAAAAAATATAGTTTGCTTTTAGGATTTTATTATTATTATTTATTACTTTGTGATTCCTCAAATCCACAGAATATTTTTTTTCATTCAATCCAAAAAAACAGACCGGGTTTCATTATCAAGGGATAACAGAACAAAACAAGAAAGATAACAAGAAAAAACTCTGTTTGAACACTACCATTAACTAATCTAACCATAGATTTCTTACGCGAACTACATTTCAAGACTAAACGAAAGAAGGCATCACATGTATCACCAAACTATGAGAGCCAAGACCAACTACATCATTTTCCATAAGAAAATGACCTAATAGTATTTGTCTGTCTACCAATCTGTGTTGGCCTCATAACTTGGAAGAAAACAGATAAAAAAAAGTGCAAGGTCTGGGTAGACCAAACTAGCCATGCTGTGCGCAGCGGCACGCCACGCCTCACTGACTGTGTTTTGTATAGTCTTTTATAATTTGTGTAAGATCTTATGAGTTTGATCTAATTTTATTTGGTCATTTTGGTTGTTTTTCTGTATTGTTGTTTTAGGTGAAACACCTATCTCCACCTAATCCCCACTAATACCGCTCATATAAATGATAAATCATATGTACACATAAAGCTCTAACAGCTACAGCACAGCAACACATCATATCACCTGAGCTTCTCCGAAAGGAACAATGAATGCCATACTCAATAACTGAATCTACACATGCTATGTAAGTCGATGGCTATTAATTGAGCCAATATCTCTAGAAATTTAACACCATATTTATTTGAAATGAGCGTTTCCATGGCATCATATCAAGTATTATCATGTACTCCCTCCGCCCCATAACATAAGATAGTTTTGCAAGCTGTTTGATAACAAGTGTATTCTATCTACAACCTAACATCTAGAAGAAGAAAAATATATCAACCATGTTCATCTCATGATATAAGCTAGTAGCATCATTGGTGACACATTCCTCCTTGTAAAGAAGCAATGTATGAAGCATACAGTCAAACAAATATAGCATGCAAAGATAACAGAGACAAGCACATTTTGGCAAAGCATGGGAAGTAACAACTCTTAACTATCCAGAGAAAAGAAAAGCATAAAAACTACACCCACTTGAATGAAACCTATGCTTAGCAATGATTCGAGGCAGAGCAGTCCAAAATGCAATAAAATATCTGCCAAATGAAGATGTCACAAAACTGTATACATCAGTAAGGGGTAAAATAAAACTTGCAGATCCATATATCAATTCCACAGGCATTGATGTTCAGTCTATCTAAGTAAAGCCCCAATGAGCATATGCGTGAGGTAATGCACAATAAATGCAAGGATTTTCTTGTCTACGCAGTGGACACTGGTGAGTTACCTCAACAACTGCAGTCTTGGTTATGACATCAATGGCAGGGAAAATCCCACTATACAAGTAGAAGGCAATGAAATTTGTAGGTCGGAATAAAAATGGGCATGCATTCTAAATAAAGAGGAAATATCCTTACTGCAGAAAGTTCCAACTCTGGGTTGCTATGGAGAATAACAAGGTCAAGGAGAATTCAGAATTGTAAGTAGTTTTGGTTAAAAAGAGATCGCAAGTACTGATTGTACAATGCTAAATTGCTAATGAGGAGTAAACAAAAAACATGAGTAGATTCCAATTAGACTAAACATATATGCTGCAACAAAGGAACACGTGTGCGACCAACAAGACTAGTTAGTTCATAAGCGACTCTGCATATATATAACACAAAAGAGCTAACATTGCATCACCACAACAAACAAAATGTTACAGTTGCATTCAAGATCAACAGCAACCGACACAATGCATAGCACCAGGGACCAGTTTTCCTGAACAATTGCACTCTTGGTGAGTGTGAGTTACTACCTCTAACTGCACTCTTGGTTGCAGAAAAAATCCCACTATACAATAGAAGGCAATGAAATTTAGTATAAGATGTTCTAACTTTCTACTGAGTCAGGATGTATATAGACACGTTTTAGTGTGTTTATTCACTCATTTCAGTCGGTATGTAGTCCATATTGGAATATCCAAAAACTGTTATATTTGTGAAAGGAGGGAGTACAATGCTGATGAGGAGTGAACAAAAAACATGGGTAGATTCCAATTTAGATTAAACAGATATACTACAAAAACAAGCGTGCGACCAACAAGGCCAGTTCATCAGCGACACTGCGGAATGTTACAGTTGCATCCAAGACCAATAGCGACCGACACATTGCGGAGCACCAGGGACCAGTTTTCCTGAACAACTCCAGTCAATTATTCATCATCCCCAAACAGAAACGAGAAAATGCCTCACCCTGGCACGGTCGGCAATCGGAAGGGTGGGCACTCAGCCGGCCATGGGGTGGTTGGCGACATACTCGATGGCGAGCGGAAGCGAGTTGATCTTGTCAGCCTCCAAGTCGGGGATCTCGAGCTTGAACTCTTCCTCGATCGCCATCACCACCTCCACCGTGTCCAGGCTGTCCAGCCCCAGATCCTTCTCGAAGTGCGCCTCGGGGGTCACCTGCCACCACCGCACTTAGGGTTAGGGTTTCGATGGCGCCGCGATGCGATGCGGATTTGAGGGCGGATCGGGGGAGCGGGGTTACCTTGGAGGGGTCGACCTTGGGGTGGCACTTGAGGACGTCGAGGACGCGGCCGACGACCTCGTCGCGGGTGAGGTGGGCGTCGTGTGAGGACATTGGCCGCGCGAGCCACGGCGCGAGGGCGAGGGGCCGGCCGGCCGCGGCGGCGGCGGCGAGAGGGGCCGCCGTGGCGGGCGAGAGTCGGATGTGGCGGAGGATCGCCGGACGCAGTGCGGCCGCCGCCATCTTTCCTGCCCGCCTCTCTCTTCGCTCGGGATTTTGACCTCACCGTTCGTCGGCCTCTCTGCTATGAGAGCGTCTCCAAGGATCCCCTCACTGATTTTTGACCTCACCTCACCTACATCTCCACCTGTACTTGTACCAGTGTTCTAATTTCTGGGCCCACCAGTCATCCACATAAACGAATCCATTCCCCGCATAGGCCGCCGCTCCCACCAGCCCACCTGAGGCCGGGCATAAAAACCAACGAAACTGCTTCATGCACGATCCTGCTGAAGCCAAAGACCAAGCCCGAACCCCGTATGAACCGAACTAAAATCGCTCGCTCAAAAGTAACAGACCGAATTTAATTCAGTCGGGTCGGTCTTCTTCTCTAGATGACCGAATAACCCAAATATATCAAATTAGCACGTTTTTCTAGATTTTTGTGGCACAATTAGCACAATGTTGGTCTTTTGTGGATTTTTATAGCACAGGTCTTGTTGGATACACCTACTACATACTTCCTCCGTCCCAAAATAAGTATCTCGACTTTAATATAACTTTGCAAGTGTCTCAAGACACTTTATTTTAGGACAGAGGGAGTACATATGTTTGAACTCTAAAATTTGGTTGCATAAACTGTTACACATACATGTTTTCTGAATTCTACTTGCATTCACATGTACCGTAACGAAATTTAGTTCATTTAATCAGAGCCGAACACCATCCGGGGAGCGAATGGTGAAGAACCAAGAACCGAAATGATTCCGGTGATCAACTATTGAAAATCAAATTCTTGGAAGATCGGAAAGATCAATAAACCGAACCAAGCAAACCGAAAAGACGGAACACACGGTTTAAGCCCACCTCCAATTGGCAATGCTCAATACAAAAGCAAGCGCACCATCCATGCCGGGGTGCTAGGAGCGCAGTCCGCAGCCCCACGCAAGGTCACCGCCGTGGCAACTGGAGATGCTTCGTGCACGTTCCCCACCGAGGTCTCAGACATGGCGTGTGTCTGGGTCGTGCAGCCGGCGGCGAGACCCACGGAGGCACAAGGCATGACCCAGGCGATGAAGGAGCATACAACCACATCTGCACGGCAGTGGGCGGCGCCTCCTCTGAAAGCGTCTCGGGTGCCACGGATGGGGGAGCGAGAGCAATGGCGTCGACGCAAGCTTGGGATAGGGGGTGCCCCCCGCAGCAGCCCGTATTCCCATGGACCATGGTGATGAGGGCCATCCATTCATCAAACTCATATCAAGACGGCTCAAAGGGAACGCTACCCCTCTCCAATAAATTCAATTTACATATACAACACGGGGGTCTTCAGTTACCCCTTTGTAGATCAGTTACATAGATTTCAGTGTTACAGAAGAAAGTGTCCAGAATGTAATTTTCCCGTTCTAGCTCCTAGTGGTACAAAAATGCTTGTGATCTGAAATCCCCGCTAACCGGTTCTCAGCTAAATAATGGCATATTCGACAAATGTCGCGTCGCAGAAATCTATAAGGCCTGAAAATACACCAGTTAAAAAACACAAATTTAGCAGATAGCCATATTGGAATACTCTTTGGCAGTCAAACATCACATTCTTACAACTTACTGACCTTTTACTGAACCATACTATCAAGGGTGTTTCTGTATGTAGCCAAGTTCTGCATAAGAGAAACAAATCTCAAACACACACATGAAAACACTACAAAGCTAGAAAAAATCAGATAAATAGAAGCCTTAAACATTAAACAGTGGGTCAGTATACACTTAATACCAAACTTATATATGATGCAGGGAATATGTACTGCAACTGAAGATTCTATATAAAGGTTAATACTTCTTCTATATGAAGGTTAACAGTGTAAGCAAGAGTGATAATAACATACTACTCCCTCCGTCCCATAATATAAGAACGTTTTGCAAGCTGTTTTAGCTTGCATTATATTATGGAATGGAGGGAGTATTTGAAAGTGTCCGTGCAAGAGGAATGGAAGCTATCCCCTTTTTTTTCGAAAAGGGGGTTTGCCCCGGCCTCTGCATCAGGAAGCTATCCCCTATCAACATCAAATGTTAAGACAGACTTTACTTCAATTAAATGCTTCTATGCCTTTTTTTTACATTTTATAATAAACGATGCCATCAATCACAATGCTTACACCGAATAACGTATTCAACTAATTTTATAGTCAACTTGATGTCTGATTGAAATCATGTACAAACATGGCATGAGATTATTCAGATCCAGCCACTAGAGCAGTTATATGCCTTTATTGGTGTCAATCAGTTTGTTTTAATATATACTGTGGATACAAATTGTTCTGTCGAGGGATAGAAAATGGAATAGACCCTTACCCTTGTATAAGCATAAACACTTGCTTCAGAAGGTCCTACCGGGCTCCCCCGTCTAATAAACTCGCCTTCCTTAAATATGTAGAGCATAGGAATGCCTGTTGACAACTCGAGGCTGATTACCTGAAGAGAAGAGTGCCAGCCCCAATTTCAGCACAATGCAATGAGGAGCCAAATCAAACGAGGAGGTGGAATACAAACTATTTATACAAGAACAGATCACCTCCTGGGAAGTCAATTTGTCTAGATGCATTATGATTGATCGAAGTGAGTTTGCATGTGCAGCAACCATCACATGCTTTCCAGCCGTGAGATGTGGAACAACCTATCAGACAACCACTTCAAATATTAGGTAGGAACTAGAATAACAGTTTCAAAGTACAAAACAAACTACAAAAAACAGTCTAATATTTGTTTGGTCAAATATTTGATATCAGGTTGGGCAATTCTAACAACAGAAACAAATTAGTATGTATTGCATTTTATTCTTCAGCATAGTTTGGATGCTCGTGATTCAAGTTATTTTTCTTTCTTTAAGGCTCATATCATCGGATAGACAGTGAATATGCACATCTCGTTAGTGTAGACATATATCCTTACCTGATCTTTGAAATAGGAAACGGCTCTGTCTGCACACATCTCTAGGCTCTCACCATTTGGGGGAGGGGTGTCGTAACTACGGCGCCATTCATGAACTTGTTCTTTGCCAAACCTATCTGCAGTTTCTTGCTTATTGAGACCTTGCAACTCACCATACCTGGAAAATCCCATGGGGTATTTTAAGCGATAAAACTATTAAGTTACTATGCACATTACCTGACTGGCAAGCTAAACAATAGTAGCAGGAGACAGACTCTTACATCCGTTCATTCAGTTGCCAAGCTGTTATGACAGGAATGGACTGCTCTTTTGTATCTTCACTGTATATCTTACTCCAACTCTGAGCTTGTTCGCTCTCCTTATGTGTGATGATTGGAACCTGCAGATACATAAACAGGCCCCTCAGTATAATTGCCCAGGACAGTGGATATAAATACCGCGTTTATTAAAGCAAAGACAAACAACCTTCTTGCGCCGATGCTGCATCATGGCAAGCATTGCAGTCATCTGAGAACGAATCATCGCCGACGTAAATATTACATCGATCGGAATGTTGCATATCCTCTTACCCGCCTCGATGGCCTCCTCCACGCCCTTCGGTGTCAGGGGCACATCGACGCAGCCAGTAAACAGATTTTTCTCATTCCACATCGACTCACCGTGCCGGATCAGTATAAGGGAACTCTCACCTACATTCAGAAAAGGATAACAGCTTTATGGAACTGCATCTGTGTGCTGAAAAAAAAGTCTATTATAATAAACTCGTGAGAATTACTTGATTTCTTGGGGCTGTGGTCTCCCTTGCCATTCGAGGGTAGGTGAACCGGGTCGATGACCGAAGACTGGGAGCCCGATGCACAAACCAGACCCAACTTTCTGCTGCCTGGGCAGCAACTTCCAACTGAAACCAAACGCACATTCGCTGTTCTCTTGTCCAATCTAGAGTTCTTGCCGTTCCACCGGTGGGATTGTGTAGACACTATGGCATTGTGAGATGTAGCCGCGGCCATTCTGATTCCAGCAAAATACAAGCAAGCAATTCATTAGTCGGCTGCATCTGTATACCTATTTCGCAGCTAGGATTCTGCGATTCTTGATTTTCTTTCTGAAACTAGGCAAATTGACGCAATAAATCACAACTCAAACAGTACAGCCCAAAACAATAGCGATGAACCCCCTGCTTCAGCTGCAGTTCTTTCGGAAAGAACAGACCGCCCCCAGGCCGGAGATAAAGAACTCTTTCAGAAAGAAGGAACCGGGACCTCAGGTAAGCGCACCTCAAGAACCCAATGTGGAGACCTTGCTGGAGAGCTGGAACCGAGGAGCTCGGCGAAACCAAGTCGAGGGGAGCACGTCGGAGAGATCTAGAGCGCCGGGGGCGAGAGGGCCGAGGACAGCAACGAGAAAACCGAGGAAGAGCCTGTCCCGCGCCCTCTTCAGTTCTCGGTAGCGCAGGCGCGTGGGCTTGTTTGGTTTCTGTCTTCTGTAGATCGAGGGGGGAGGCTCTCTGTTCTGGTTATTTGAAGGAGGAAGAAACGGCATTGACCTATTGGGGGCGACAATGGGAAAATAGGAGTTGGAGCAAACTGGCAACGACCGTGTTAGGGTTGGTGGCATATTACCACGTGAACCACATGGAACCAATCGGTGACTTTGTTAAATATATATATATATAATCAAAACTCCTTAATTACCTGTACATTGCCCGCGCAGTCACGGTCGCCACTCCCTCCTCCTTCCCATCCTTGCCACCGCCGCGCAAAGTCCCTGGCAGTCAGTGACGGTGGAATCATGTTCTCATGTGCCCTTCACCTCCTTCGTTCCAACTTTATTGATCCCAACCGGAGCCCGGGCTCGTCGCCATGTGGTGCGTGCGACGGTCTCCCATTTCCCCATGACGCAGGCGGTACTGGACGAGTGCAACATTTAGTAGGGCATCTTCGTGATGCCCTCCGCTGCCAGCTCAAGCTCGGACAATCGCCAGCTACGCGCGCGGCTGAAGTGACCACTTTTTGCACTGTCAACGTTGTTGGACTTACTTCAACCGATACTACGATGTGGAGCAACCGACAACCTCCACTACTTCCAGCACCTAAAAGCTTGCCCCGAACTCAACACATCCTTGTCATCCATGTGGATGAGGTGGATGGTACAAGTGATGGTGTGTCGGCGGACCCCTGGTCTTCCTCACTGGGTTTGGGATCCCCGGTCGTTTGCACACGACAAACCAAGATAGGGAAGAAGCGGCAATGTCAAGAATAGCCGATGTGATCATCGTTCGACCATACCAAAGATTTCTCCTCCTTGATACGTTGGTCACCTTGTGATATGGTGCCACAAGCAAGGACGATGGAGCAAAAAGTGATGTGTGATGGTGTTGTCTGATACAGATCTTTCATCGGGTGCCAGCTGGAAGGACTACGTGGGATTGTTGAAACCTCCTGAATTGGGCATTTTTGCAGTGAAGGTGACCTTTCTTCCTCATCACTGACTTTGTCATTGTTGAGCTCCGTTTGGGCTTTTCTCCCTTTCATCATTCTTTTTTGGTGCTTGGCCAAGCGGGAAGTGAAGCGCAGGCTAAATGTTGCTAAAGCCAAGCATGGGGGCTGCAAAATCGCAGAGGGACACATGAGTATTTGCGAAAACCTGTTCAGTACCGAGGTTAGGCCAACTCCAACACGCGACCTCAAATCATCTGTCGCGTCTGTTTGGGGGTAAGCGAACACAAACCGCGGCCCAATGTGCGGGAGCAAACAGACAAATGTCCATTTTTGGTCCGCTTTCGACCCATTCTCGGACCAAACTTGGGTCACGTTTGCGGGCAAACAGACAGCGCGCGGACGGGCGGGACGCGCGCCCTTGTCCTTCCATGGCCTGCCCGTCGGAGACAGAGCCCCATTTCTTCCTCCCCCTTTCGTCGCTCTGCCCTCGGCCCCTCGCCATTGCCACCGCCACGCCCGTCACCACCTTGCTTTGCCCGTCGGTGGAATAGCCCCTTATCTTCCTCCCCAGTCGTCGCTCCGCCCTCTGCCTGTGGTCGTCCACCTTGCTGCGAACCAACGACCTCGACGTGCCCTTTCCGTCCGCGTCTCCACCATGCCCGCAAGGTGTTCGACGCTTTGCTTGCAAGGTACCATGGCTAGCGGAGATGAGTACTTCTTTCACAACTTCATTTGTTCATTGGATGATTCGTCCTCGGACGATGAGGACATAATGGTGGCAGCATTGGTCGTCCATGACCACATCAGTAGGATGCGGCCTCAGTTTAGGGGATCAATCCCCTGGCATGCCCCGGCCTTGAACTGCAATAGGGAGAAAGGGCACCACCTCCTCTATTCCGATTACTTTGAGCACCGCACTCTATAAACCGCATCAATTTCGTTGCCGCTTCCGAATGAGGAGGCGCGTGTTCAATCGTATTCGGGAAGTAGTCGTTGCATATGACCCATACTTTGAATGCAAAGAGGACGCCCTTGGAAAGCTTGGCTTCTCTTTTTATCAAAAATGCACTGCGACTATTCGCATGCTTGCATATGGAATTCCCGGTGGTCTTGTGGATGAGTATGTGCGTATGAGTAAGTCCACATGCCTCCTGTCAATGTATAGTTCCTGCAAGGCCGTGGTGGCAGTGTTCGGTCCTGAATACCCGAGAGAACCAAATGTCGCTAATACATAGAGGTTGTTGACCATTAATGCTGAGAGGGGCTTTCCAGGCATGCTTGGTAGTATCGATTGTATGCACTGGAAGTGGAAGAATTGTCCATTTGCTTGGCAAGGGCAGTACAAGGGACATGTGAAAGGTGCCACTATCATACTTGAAGTTGTGTCTTCACAAGATCTGTGGATATGACATTCTTTTTTCGACATGGCTGATTCTTACAATGATATTAGTGTTCTTCAGCATTCTTCAGTGTTTACAAGGCTTGCAGAAGGCCACTGCCTGGAGGTCAACTTTGAGATCAATGGCCACCATTACAACAAGGGATATTATCTAGCGATGGTATCTATCCTCAATGGTCCACTCTTGTGAAGACCATATCCAATCCGCAAGGAGAGAAGAGACAGAGGTTTTTCAAATGCAGGGGAGTGCTAGGAAAGATGTGGAGCATGCATTTGGTGTGCTTCAATCTCGATGTGGTATTGTTCGAACCCCTGCATTGACATGGAGCACTCAAAAGTTTTGGGATGTGATGAATGCTTGTGTGATCATGCATAACATGATCGTTGATGATGAGCGTGATGGCGGTATCTACGACCAAGGGTTTGATTTCCAGGGTGAGAATGTTGAGTCTTAGCACCCACCTACTGCAAGTCTGCAACCTTTCAACAGTTTGTCCATTTTCATCGTGAGTTGCGTGATCGGAACACTCATACGCAACTCCAAAATGACTTGGTTGAGCATACGTGGGATCACATTGGCAATCAATAGATCTATCAATTTAATCTTTTTTCATGTGCACAAACTTTGAGTGGTTTTGTAATACTATTTGATATTTCTAAAACTTTAACTGAATTGTAATAAAAGACTATTTTGAACATATGTTTGATTTAAACTATTTTTGCTATGTTTCATTTTGTTGTACTTGGTCTCCAGCGGACGAGATGGGGTCGAAGATGCGGCCGCGCGTTGGGCGCCCGCCCGACGCAAACCCAAATCCGGACGGATACGGCCCCATTACCACCTCCAAACGGATAAAATCCAGACACAACGGATGTCCGTTTGAGGTCGTGCGTTGGAGTTGGTCTTAGATTGAATCTTTCAACCATCCAAACATCGGGTATTCAAGCCAGGGCTGTTATTGAATTCGCAGATGACAAAATAGTGTTTGAACGCCCGTCTGGCCGAAGGCTTCTAGAGCAGGTACGAGCTATGCGTCTGAACATGAGCTCAAAAAGAAGACCTACTACGCTCGTTCAAATTTTGAGATGCTCCCTTGCCTTGTTTAGCCGCAGAACCACCACCAGCTTTGTAAGTTGTGCTGCGCAGCTGGACGTGTGCTCCAGCTCAAGCCATTTCCGATGACCAGCATCTCTGCGTTACCAACTGCCAAACCTGTTCTTAATATCCCATGGACATTCTCCTATTTTACGAAGATTCGCGGCGCGCACCTGCAAACTTGCCGTCACAGATTTTGGTCGTGCGTGCACACATGCCACCAGAGCTTCGACCTTTTGACCTGGCCGGCCTCGAGACCAGACCGGACAAGACAGAACGGGTCGCGAGAACGCATGTAAGACAATAGGTTTGGGGAAACCGGCACAACCCTTTAGGGGTGGCCTATCTCATATATATAATGAAGGGGTACAACGTTATATCATACGTACACATATACGTACACATATACAGAAAGCTATACAGTCTAACACCCTCCCTCAATCTTAGCCACTTCCTAAAGAATCTAGAAGGGTAAGATTGCGCCGACAATTCTCAAACTGCGGAAGAGGTAACGGCTTGGTGAAGAAGTCTGCAAGTTGATCTTTGGAAGAGATGAACTTGATCTGTAGTTGCTTCTGAGATACCCGTTCCCGTACAAAATGATAGTCCACTTCGATGTGTTTCGTTCGGGCATGAAATACCGGATTAGCAGACAGATATGTAGCACCGATGTTATCACACCAAAGAATAGGAGACTGTGACTGAGATATACCCAACTCCTGAAGTAAAGACTGCACCCAGATGATCTCTGCAGTTGCATTAGCCACAGCCTTATACTCAGCTTCAGTACTGCTACGTGAAACAGTAGCTTGTTTCCGAGCACTCCAGGCGATCAAGGTAGAGCCAAAGAACACAGCATAGCCCCCCGTGGATCGCCTGTCATCCGGACTGCCAGCCCAATCCGCATCAGAATATGCTGAAATGATCCCAAAGGGATTCGGTCGAATGTGCAAGCCATAGGACAAGGTGAAGCGAATGTAGCGCAAGATGCGCTTAACTGCAGACCAATGAGCGTCACGAGGTGCCTGGAGATACTGACATACTCTGTTGACAGCAAATGAAATATCTGGACGG